AATGGGCAAAATTATGGTATACACCCACGAATAAAACCATTCTTATTAGCATCAGCACGAAAAAGAATATCAGAAATAGTAAAACCACTAGGAGATCAAGTAAAACGAATACATACAGATGGCTTTATTGTAGCTGGAAAGGTAGAACTTAAAACGGGAGTAGAAATGGGTGAGTTAAAATTCGAGAAAAAAGAAGTTTGTGTAGTAAAAAATTGTATATCAGTCACATGGAAACCATCATATCCAGAAATTCCAAACTTGATTACAAATATTTTACCAGATTTTGAGAAAATACAAGATAAAGAGCAGAATACGAAGTTAGATACAGAGTATCCTGCTTCACAGACAGTAAAAGGGAAACTATCAAAAAAGTCTGATATAACTCTTCCGAATGAAATTATAATAGAAATATTTCAACATTTACGAACACAAAATAATAGATTAGACACGACGTGTCCTGTTTCGCAGTGCGGTAACAATGAATTATTGTTTCCAGTTTTATATGTTAACAAACGATGGAATGAATGTGCAACATATTTAATATGGAGAAGAATTACATTATATAGATATAATATTAGAAATTTCGTCAAATTAATAAAAATGAAAACATTACCGAATGCAATAAAATATATAAAACAGATAGAATTCGAAAGAATAGACAATTATTTTAATACGGATGAATTTCTATTAGAAGACATTGTAAGTATATGCCAAGATATAATAACTATATCATTTAAGGATTGTGGTTGGGGGTTTCTCAACAATAGTTCACTAAAGATGACATTGGATACGTGCAAGAATCTAAACCATATATTTATTTATGGAAGTAATCGAATAGCACCAAAAACTGTCCTAAGTATACCAGAAAAATGTACAAGTATAAAAACTATAAAAATACAAAATTGTGAACGAATAACAGATAAAATAGTAAATCAATTAGTGAGCAAATATCCGAAAATTGAAATTGATAAAATAGAAGTTGACTTACGAAGTGAGGATGATATTGCATCTCAAATTATAGAAAATATATTTTACGAAGACTAGTTTATGGTAAGCTATAAAACTCATTTAGAAGATAACTGCTTTTTTTTCTCACATGTTCGAAAAAAGATATAGTTATTCACTCGAAATAATCTAGCTTCGAGTAATGAAATTTATGAGAAGGTAGGATAATAAAACTCGTATTAAATAAATTTATATTATATAAAACAAAATATAGAGTAAGTATGACAGACAATAATTCAAGTTTAATAAATGAGCAGGGCTCAGAGTTAACGATGCAGGAAGCTATTACATGGAAAATGATTGAATCAGCACAAATTAAAATAATAAAAGAAGCCTTTCGTCTTCGATATAGAAAAGATAGTAAGCTTATTAGTGAATATGCAGGATATGTAAAAAATTTGCGTAATGCAGAAAACCGAGATGAGTATATAAAATATACAGCAATAACACTATTTCCAAATGAAGAAGCATATAATAAAAGAATGTCGAGATATAGAAAATGGTATCAAGGTAAGAAGGAGCTACTTACCAGTGTAGAAGATTTATATAATCTTTATTATAAGCTATCCAAAAAAGATAGGCCTATGACTGAAACAGAAATTGAGAAGCTGTTGAAGATGTACTTATAGACGAGTAGGCTCTTCAAGCCATTGCTCTGCAATAGAGCGAGCTCATTCTTTCAGAATAATTTGGAAATCTAATTATTATCAAGTATCCGTTTTGGTGGATACTCAACATTGTCAACTTTCATTAGTTGTTCTCTCACAAATGATCTTTCGGGTCCATCACCATTTTCATCCATAAGCCAGTATAATACCGGTTGATTTTTTTGTATTAGTGATTTCTTAATACGATAAACTTTGGGAGACCAATTCATATCAGTTATGCGTCTCTTGCCAAATTCTAATTCTCCAGGTTCGAGTAAATATAAAACAGAATCTTTATAGGTTAACCGAGGTTCATCAAACCC